AAGTGGCGGACCTTTAATGTGTCTTCTGTTAAATTCAAGCTTAAATAAAAAGATCTATTTAAAACGTACATAAGACTATGTTGTAAATTTTCATACGGAGCGATAACTCGCTTATCAGCTTAATAACAGGAAATTTAATAGTTCCAGTTAAGATGCTATATAAGGATTGAAATATTTGAAACGTTGCAAATAATGTTTTAGAAATTCAAGCTTTACTTCTGATGATAAGAAATTTTGAAATAAGTTTTTGAAACTTTTACGGATCAAATAATGTAAATTTAAACTCAAATTCCAGCGACTTTGGGGGCCCACCAGTTGCCGAGCTAGTAGTCGCTGAACACTGGTAGTTCGGTCCGAGATTCGAATCTCGCGAACGGGAGGGCTGCATGGGCGTTTTCGTGATTTTCCCCATGTCTAACGAGTATGCGAGCCATTTCCCTTAGAAAGTCCTCCACGAAGGCATCCTTTACCTTAGGCAGATAAACGTCGAGTGCTTTGCCATAATTAAAATAAAACAAAACAAAAACAATTCTTTCGGAGATTAACTTAATGACAGAACAAGGAAGTTGTGTCATTTCATTTCTCATCTGTTACAAGAATTACGGAGTCCTTCTGATACAGTTTTAATGAAGTTATGTATTCATGTACCCACACTGGTCAATTAATTAAAAACCCAAAATCAATATTGCCAATATACCACTTTTTCAATGAATAATTACTCTCATTCGTTTGAGCATTCGTTCGTCCCTCCCTTTAGACAGATGGTTCTCGAGGCTTTGCCATAATGACATAAACAAAACAAAACCAAAGACTTTTGCTTTTTGTTCCCTTCTTTATAATTAAATTTCAGAAGTTTTATAAAGTTACATACATGCTGAATAAATCTTTTTCTTCTTAATGAATCCAATTAAAAGAACTCTAAAAATTCAATAGTTTTAGTTCAAACACAGGTTTAAGGAAATGAATTGAAACTTCAAATCACTCATCAAATTCGTAAAATATTCATACAAATCCTATAAATATTTCATATTAGTTAACCAATTATCATGATTTAAATATTTACTATAATTTCTTCTTTCCTTAGATATCACTAAGATACAAATTAGATTAAAAAATATTTAAATCGAAAATTTTGAAGGTTATACATGTACTTGGTAGAGACGTCTGCATTTGCGTTTTAACGTCCAACTTTACAAGCAAATATTTCGACTTCAGCCATTTTGCTAGCCGACGTTAATACGCGCCATTTAAAATACGGAACCAGCTTAAAATGGCTCAGTTTGCCAATTTTTTTTACTCTAAGCCCGATCTGTGCCTTCTGTTTAATTTCAAGTTTAAATAAAAAAGTTACTTAAACCTTCTCAAGACCTTGTAATATTTCAGAAGAAACGATAATTCGCTTGCCTGTGAAGCAGATTCTGAAAGACTTATTAATATTACACAATTAAAATCCTATAAGCCTTTAAACGTTTGCAAGTTTCTATTAATATAAGTTTATTGTATTATAAATAAACGCACAAGGAATTGACGTATTGCATGCTTCCAATATAAATGTGTGTTTATTGCACTCTCACACAGGAGTTTAATTTTGTTATTCAGACATGTAACAAAACTGGAAAAGTACTGATCATAAACTGATAAAAATTAATTAATTTGGAGAATGTTAGATACATATCTTACCATTCTGTACTATTTAGATATAAGTTCAAGAATATAAAGTATGATGCATAATCTTTCATTTTTTTCAGAATCATATAAGATTGTTTACAGTAGCGCATTCAGTATTAGCATACACTCGATTTGAATTCATGATGAGACCTGATCTCTTAGTCAAACTGAAAATGACTGAATTGAGTGTAATCTCAAGAAGCAATAAAATTACTTCACTTTTTTACCCCCATTCTGTCAACTAAAAAGTACAAAATAGCACATGTACAAAATTTAACGTATCACACTTTTACTTCGATGAACCAAAACGTAAGAAATAATTTTAAGCTAAGGCAGCATTCGTGATCACGTGCGACTATATATAAAATCGCACAGCGCAAATATCAGAATGGTGTTGGGGCACTTACGAGACTTCAAGTAGCAACAGAAATGAAAACATTAAAAAAGCATATATATTATTAATTATATTTTTACTTAAGTTTTTCTTTTTCTCACAATATTTATTTAAAGTTTATCATTGCTAGCAACTCCACGATTTTAATTTAAGTCACATATGATTAAGGACATTGTTTGAACTACAAAATTATTTCTTACTGCACTTGCCTCAATCATTGCAAGGTAGAAAAGTGTATTTTATATCTGCTTTATTTCCGTTTTTATTCAATTTTACATATATTTTGAAATTTTATTTTATTCAGGGTTCCACAGTATTTCTGTGGCTTTTTCTAATATTCTCTTCTATTCCTCTTGCAAAGAAAAAAAATGTATTGCTAGTTAAAATAATCAATAAATTCTAAAAAAGTAAAAATAAAATAATATATTCGCTATATTTAATAAGCTTATATATATATATATATATATATATATAATTTATTTCCTAAACAATATTGATTAATTGATTATATTATCTCCTAAGTTTAATTAAAGTAGAATTATTTTAAAAGAGTGAATCCATACTGGTAAGTTATATTTTGAAAGATGTTTTGAAGTAATTTGAAAGCAAAATGTTAATAATGTTTTAACGGGGACTGGAGTTAAATCATCATGAAGAAAATTTCAATTGTAAAAGGAAAAATTAAAAACATGTAATCATTGTCATTGATCGGAAATTAGTTGACTTTTCAAGGGGAACAAACCAACTCCCGTTCAATGAACAATAATTGATAAAAATACGTAAATACGAAAGGTGTTTCGTCTTTACTCGAGTTATAAGTTAAAGCCAAACCGGCAATTCTAGTCAGGCCAAATATTTTTCGCGAATAGAAGGGATTATGAACCAATGCTGATACTCAAAGAACTTATTCTTATGAAGCATTTTAGTCAATTCAATTTGGAGTAAAAATCAATTACTGTAGAGAAATCCTATTAAAACTCGAGTAACCGTCCCCGACACCTTCATGTTTATGCATTTGAGTTCTATATTATTTAGAAATTAAACATTGGAAATTGTCATTATGAAATCGAATTCAAAGTAAAGTTGAAATAAACATAGAAGATTACAAAATAAGATAAATAATGCAAACTTTGTAAAAACAAATTAAAAAATAATATAAAAATAAATATAAATATAAAACAGTATGTACATGAAGATTTAAATTAAAAGGGAAAAAAAACTTTGATCTTAAAGGAGTGGATGTTTCTTCATAATCATATATTGGGTTTTATAAAGTTTTAACACCGTCATGAAATAATAAAAAATACACATAAAGAATTCTTTTGTGTCCTTATGTTATCAATAATCAAAATTTTACGTACGTACAATATATCTGATCTGTGTAAATGTATAAATAAGAAAGAGCTAATTTAAATTCCATAATCCAATTCGGAGTTCAGCACCAAAACTTCTATTTGTAAAAGAATTAAATACACATCAGTAAATTCGTTAAATATCTGTCATCAAGACTGTTTGCATTATTTGTACACAATACAACTATTTTGTGGAAAGTTACAAGATGGAGGGAGAAAAAAACCCACTCAAAATTGGCTCTGTAACTACATCTGTACATAAACGTTTTCTCAATACTATATTTCTCTAAATATATTAAACTGTTGCAAGGCACATTTTCAATTATGCGATTTTAAACTAATGCTCTAAAACGCAATATGTATTTTTTTAAATATTCTTCATTAAGAAAAACTAAAAATAAACTCATAGCACCGAACATTCTCCATTTTAAACTAAAAATTGCCAAAGAGAATTTTAAAAGAATTGACAGAAATCAGGCTTTTATAGGACACTTCCAGACAGTCGCTTCATTTTTTTTTTAAATTCTGTTAGTAATCTATACAGTTTGCATATCGGAGCCTACGATTTTATTTGTAGACTCACAAGAATATTATGATAGTTAAAATAGTTATTTTCTACGAAATTGTGCACCTTCAGTAAACTCGTATAATTTGAAAAAAAAATATATATATATATTTTAATTTGGACATTTTAGTTTACAGAATGCGAAATAATAATAAAGAAAGGAAACCTTTGTTTCTGAAGGTAGGAAAAAGTTTCATTATAATCTAGTGTGAGAATGCATTCAGTTTACTTTTAAATTTCTCTTTTAGGAATTTAATCTCAGCAGTTATCAATAATCAATTATGGTTTGAACATTTCAAACATTAAATTAAAACTGTAAAAAAAAAAAAAAAAAAATCTACCAGTCAGACAATAACTAAAATGGTCGAAGGCTTTCTTAAAAGCTGCTAAAATTTGAAAAATTACCTTAGACCTACATTTGGAAGCTATTTTTCGACCTCTTTGAGTGTATTAAAACTGAATTATAATAAGTTTGCAAGGATTTCTTTAAAATACTCAGCACTAAATTAAAATATATCTATATCAAATTTAAAAAAAAAAGGCCAATGGAAATTTTCAACAAAATTAGGTCAATAGAAAAGTATTAAAAATTTACCCGATGTATTCAACAAACTAAAAAAAGGGGAGAATCAGGTCAAATAATCCCATTCCGATAAATACAATATGGTTGCAACAACCTTTGATGACTGTTAAAACATTCACATGTTAAAACAGCAGCAGTTACATTCGCAGAACTGTTAATTTAAATTAGACACTTAAGTATTCAATGTTTCCATAAATCCCCATTATTATACAATACAAATTATTACATGTGTCAATGCACCCATAATATGTCTTCAAGTTCGATAAAAAATAAGAATGACAAAAATAGCATTAAAATAAAACTTAGTATTCTGCCGTTAATAAAAGGGCAGAATATTGAAAAAAAATTAACGGCAGAATAATTTTTTTCCACATTTTGTCTTTATATCAGTAGAGGACAAAAAAATAACACAAAGACTGTAAAGAGTTTAAAACATACCTGGAAGCTGTATCGTGTGTTGGTAGCAATCTTCCACTGTGGGCTTGTAAGTACTACTGAAGACATCATCTAAGAAACGAACAACAAGACTTGTTTTTCCGACTCCTCCCGCCCCTAAAACTACAAATTTACTCTCCCTCATTGAAAAGGAGGTCTTCTGTAATATGTTTAAAAAATGAGCAGCTTTAATTATTAGATATTACTTCTATAATTAACTAATTATAAATCGAATAAGGAATCGTATTAATAAATCAATAAATGTTCATATTTCTATTGGTATTATTTTGTATATATATTTTAAAAATATATGGTTAACTTTAAAAAAGAAGTTGAGAAATTAAGTTTTCTGTTGTTTTCCTTGGAGATTTACTATTCTGAGATTTTTGTTCGTTATTCTCTGTTTAAGTTACTTTCGCTATTCTGTTCGCGTCAGGCAGGGAAAACTGCTACTCAGGCTGAGAATAGCGCACCGTTTGAATCAAATCATGATTGAATAGGCGACCAATGAGGAACTTGGCCACGTGACATCAGCGTGCGTGCTAGGCCGAAGAACAACTGCTAAAGATAAGGTTAGAAAACTCGCCAACAGAAAGAGGATTGTCGCCAAATACGCTAAAAAGAAGGCAACATTCTCATTGATAAAAGGGGTCTGGGCTTCAGGTCGATAGCAGTATTAATTGAGTCGCGTATTGCAACCCAAATTTGAAAAAAAAAAAATGCTCGGTATTTATTCTAACAAATAAAGTATAAATATTCTTATCTGAAGGAAGGAAGAAAGTAATTCAACAGATACTTTTCTGCGCATGCATATATTTTAAATAAAATTTGGGCTTTTCTAAAAGATTTTATGAAGAAATATTTACGAAATAGCAATTTTTTTATATTACGATGCATTGGGAATTTTTTAATGCATTTAATTAAAAGAGTTGTAGGCTGAGTGAATTTTATACGTATAATTTTGATTTCTAACTATACTATTAGGTTTAATTTTAGTTTAATTCCATATTAGAGCCATTATAGTTCTGAAACCAAATTTCGGGAAAACTGCAAGTATCAATCCTTGAAAAAGTTAAATTAACTATAAACACATACACGTTGTAATTTTACCTTTTCACTTCCAATCAATGGTTGTGGATTTTATGGCATGCATTTTATTCGAATTACCAGTTATTAAGTGAAAAAACTCTTGATTTTTGGTAAAACTCAATAATAATAATAATAATAATAATAACATAAAAATAAATAAATGAATAAAATAAAATAAAAGCATTCCAAGGTTTAGGCAAAAATGTTATTTATGTAATGATAAACCTATCCTGTAAGTTTCACAGTTATTAATTATACAGTTAATTACACAGTTAAAATAATTATAACAAGCATATTTTATTCATATTTATTTGCTTTAAAAGCGATTTTAAATTGGAGACTTTACGTGCAGTTAATTTTTTTCTTCACCATTTTAAATGACAAAATTCCCATTTCTGTAAAGATAAGAAATAGAAAGCTTAAAATTTTTCTCATACCTTTTTTTTACCCGCTAACCACTAACTATCCTGCAGGAAAATATAAATATTTTTTCCTGTAAAACTGGTATTCTATATAATTAAGATCTCATTTACAGATCAGGCTTTAAGTATGCTCAATCACTGTTTATTTTTGAGACATAAATTAATTTCTTTGAAAAGGGCATTCTAGATTAGTTTTCTTAAACGAGCTAATTATAAGTATTGTTATGCTTTTCAAAAATTAATGTGTGCGTCTAAGTTGTACAACTCTGAAGAAAAGTGGAAACTTATAGATTCATTGAAAATTAGCTTAAAGATATTTTGCTTTCTAATACAAATGAATATTCTTCTATTTGTGCAACGTATGCTGTAACATGAAAAATACTAAAGAGTATTGCTTTCAACTACACCCTACGAAGACTACTAATAGAAGTCCTCAAGAGTTCGGAGTTTCTCTTCCTCTAAGTGTACCTTCAGCATTTCCGACAAGCCTAAAAGTAAGCTTTATCAAACCGTGCGATTTCTATGTAAATGCCATAGTAAAATAAAGACAACCTCTATGTAATAAAATTATTGCTTCTGAGTTAAAATATTCAGCCTGGTTAGGCAAATATAACACTGAAAATAAACATATTTATATTCAGCAATAAAATTTGTTAGATATATCAAAGGGAGAAAAAACCTTTTAAATACACAGCAATGTAGTATGGACGCGAAAACTTATTTTGAAGTTATTTAGTGAATTATTTAAGATTTTCTGAAAGTTTTCAAATTTTGAAATGTTAAAAGGCATTTAAAAACCGTTATCAACTAAATAAATAATAAAAACTAAAAGTATTCGAATAAAGCAAATCCAGAATGTTCTTTTAAGACATAATTAAATTTTATAAATAACTTATTGAACAAAAATTGACTAATATAAAAATGAATTAAACCAATTTTAAATGTTCTTAGTTTTAAGTTCTTTTTTTAGTTTAAAAGTAAAAATTTACCTATCGAAAATTAAAAAAAAAAAAAAAAAACTTTTATTGTATCTTCTTCATTTTAAACTAAAAAATACGTGTAATGCATTAAAAATTTAAAAAGAAAGGAAAAAATACTCTCTTATATTCAGATTTATTCATAACTCCATAAATTACAAAAAGCATATCCTTCGTGCAGCTATAAATAGAATTTAGAAACTTATGCAGTAAAATTGGAAAAATAAACAAAAGCTGCCTTACTAAACTTGCTGAATTATAGCGAATGGTAACAATTTAAAAAACATAAAACAACAGGTTATATTCAAACATTTAAGAATAATATTAAACAGGATTGTAAAAGAGGAAATTACACTTTAAAACTACCTATCTAGAAGGAAAGCGTATTTTCGACTCGCATTTCCAGCGGATTGAATTGCATTTGCATTTGAGTCGGAAAAAATGCAGAAATTCCATGAAGGATTTAAGGATTTCCGCAATAGACTACTTTAAATTCAGTATAAAAAGCAAGTAAACGCAAACCCCTGAAGAGTTCAAAAAGGAATGAAAAGGCATGTTCAGTTTCAGCATCCTTAAAATTGGATTCCATCGCCTTTCAGAAATACGTTGTTAATAATGTATCAGAAAATCTATTTGAAAAATAAGGAATATAAATGCTAAAGTAATTCAGAACATATTACATGTGGTTCTTTAACGTTTTATAATATCAAAATAAAGTTGCTGAAATGTAGACATTTAATTATAGTGTGTGTAAGATCTAGAATATAACATCAGTAATACCTGAAAAGAAAAATTTACTTAATTGTTTCTTATGATTTAAAACAGATGTGAACTTTGCATTAGAACATAAAACTAGTTTATATTTGCTGCATGATGAAAAAGCTTTCCACCAGCCACTGTTATATAGATAATAATTTAAAACTCTCCCATACCGAAGTATTCCTATAAAAATTAAAAACACTCGCATATGAAATGAGAATTATCGTATGGTAAGGAACAGCAACTTGTTTTACTTGATATAAAACTTAATTTCGAATGCTTACAAATCATTCGACTACTAGCTATAATGTAGAAAACTTAGAGTGGAATTCAGGGAAATATCTTTATACAAATCTCCTCTTATGGATATCGACCCCCATCATTAGAAGAAAATCACTTTTCGGATTTTGAAACGAGTTTAAAACCCATAGTTATCCCCAATAAAAACGAAAGCCATCAAATGTAGAAAATTTCACACTCATCGAAGAAATTGGTCGGAAGAAAATATGGGTGGTATGATGAGGAAACTGAATTATTATGACGTTTCTTCAGGATGGAAGCTGATTACATATTCATCTATAAATAAAATAAGTCTCAAACCTAAACTATCACACAACAAGAAAGCGAAACCATCAATATCAATAGCGCACTTCGTAGAAATGAAAGAAATATATAAAAGTTTTTTTCATTAGATGTAATTCATTTTTATACTTATAGCTTGCAAATTTCTGAAAATTTAAAAATCATTGCCAAAGGTATTTTTACCGACACTCATGTGCTTTTGTGCAACGAGAAAGCACCTGCGTCACACCTGGCAGTAAAAGAGTGGCGTGAAAAGAATTATTTTCGCAGAGCAACATAGCATTAAATACGTTCTTCTGGAAAAACAGCCTATCCATATAAAATCAGACCAAAAAAAGACCGTTTTAAAAAACACGGACAAAAAGGAAGAAAGCTCTGAGTACGTAAGAGATCACTTTCTAAAGCTTAGATAATGTTAAAGAGAAAGAGGGAGTAATAACATTTCTCAGGTCTTTACAGCTTAAAAACTAAGAAGTTAATGGATAGTGAACTCTGGAAAGCCTTTGAATGTTTGCAGAAATTTCTGAGAAAAAAATGAAGCGGAAAATTACTGCAAATGCTTCAAGAAATCCAGATAGCTACTACAAGCTAGGACAAAAATAGCTCTAAAATTTCACTTTTTATGTTCGCACCACGGTATTGCCCCTGAAAACTGAAGAATTTAAGTGAAGAAAAAAGAGAAAAAATTTCATCCAGTACTGAGAAAATGGAATAGAGATATCAAGGTACATGGGTGCGGAATACGAATGCTCTCCACCTTGCCACCGAGTTATGTTCCTAATGGTGTATTGGTGTATTTAATTATGGCAAAGCTCACTAGGGCTATCTGCCTAAGGGGAGGGATGCCTTCGTGGAGGACTTTCTAAGGGAAACTGGCTCGTATATACGTTACACATGGGGAAAACCACGAAAACACCCATGCAGCCAGCCCGTTTGCGGGATTCGAACCTCGGACCGAACTACCAGTGTCAGCGACTTTACCGCTCGGCCGCTGGTGGGCTTATGTTCCTAATGACCGGTCCTACTCTGAATTGCTCTTAAAAATAATACTAGATTCGCTACGCATATCTCCTTAAAATATTTGTAAAATAAGAGATATGAATACTATCAAATGAGCAGTTAACGAACGAATAAATTATAGAGTCTAAGGAAGGTTAAAATAATTTCATATTTAAGTCTGAAATTAATAAAAGTACAGCTTCTGAGACAAACGGATCTCTGCCGCTTGCGGGTATTTTAGTTAAATTTCAAATGTAGGTAACTTAGTTAGACACTACAGATAATGTAGACCACAAACGTTGGCCCAGATATTTAATGGTACGCATTTTTAACGTCGGGTAGCTAAAGTTCGAATACAAGTTAGATAGCGCAGTAGATACTAACTTGACAGCAAGATGCCAGAGTCTCTAAACTAAATCTTCAAACGTCTTAGCTTAAATACACAAACAATTGATTTGCATTTTGGTGAGAACTATGGAAAGAAGAAAATATCCTCAGTTGGTTCATTAACATTGGTTATTAAATGTTAATTTACCAACTCAATTGGTTAATTAACGTATGATGCCTTATAAGTTCAAATGG